GGTTAAGAGGCTGCTGTCCATCTGAGCTCCAAAGCCTGGCTCCACCACTTGCTACCCAGGTTCCCCCAGCCATGACCTAAGCCCCTCAGCTCAGTTCACTCAGCTATACAAAGCAGACCATGGTGGTCCCTAGACTTCATAGCTGTCACATGGTAAGTAAAAAAAATGCATCCATGCAAAGAAGCAAACACCTGGCAAGTTCTTAGTAATTAGCTAGTATTATTACTATTACTATTGCTGTCTTTGTCATTTATTAATAGCCAATGCTTAATTCTTCCACATGGAATAAAGCTACCAGAGCATCCCCAAGCCTCCCATAGGACTCCAGAGTGCAATAAGGAGAATAATATTCTCTTCAGCTCCAAAGACACCCCCCCACCTAGTCCCTGGAAATTACCACATGGTCAAAGGATGTGGTTTCCTTAGTGAGAGAGGTTTACTTAATGATAAGCGGTTTTCCTGGGTTATCCTCCAGGAAAACAATCACAAGAGTGTTTCCAGCAAAGGCTGGAGTGCTGCAGCCACAAGCCAGGGACTGCAGGTGCCTATGGATGCACAGAAAGCAAGGAAACAGACACCCCTATAGTGCCTCCCGGAAGAACACAGCCTGGCTGATCCTGGATTTGTGTTTGCATTCATCAGAGCCTCCAGATAGTAAACCGAGGCTGTTTAAGCCACTCCTGGTTTGTGACAGCTGGTTATGGAAGCCATAGGAGACCCAAACACGTCAGGATCTCTAGGATCCTATAGGTGTCCATAAGCCACAGGTGTTTGGAGCACCTGATTCAAGAGCACAAGGAAATACCGCGTTCAAAGTGCCCTGTCATATTCTCATCCACATGGGTGCACTCTCATGAACAGCCCATGCTGTTCTACCCTCGTTGTCCTCACCAGTAATCCTTCTGCTGCATGCTTAATGAGCTTTATCTCATATCCTCCAGTGCTGTGTGGCATTGTTCTAACAGACAGACACTCTGAGAGAGCTGCCTGGTACCCAACGGGGAGCAAGAGGTGTATCTGTTCATGTGGGCCCTCAAATCAACATTCCACAAGTTGGTTGGCTTAAATGACAGAATTACCTTTTTGCAAATTGAAGTTCAACATCAAAGGACGGCATGGTTGGATTCAAGTGAGGCCTCCTTTCCTTTCCTGACTTGTAAACAGCCACCTTCTCACTGTGCAGATAGCAAAAACTCTCTGATCTCCCTCACTTTTTTTTTTGGGGGGGGGGGGGAAGGGCGGGGCAGTCCTAGAGCTTGAATTCAGGTCCTGGACACTGTTTCTGAGCTTCTTTTTGCTCAAAGCCAGTACTCTTCCACATGAGCCACAGCACCACTTCCGGCTTTTTCTGTTTATGTAATACTGAGGAATTGAACCCAGGGCTTCATGCATGCTATGCAAAGTGCACTACCACTAAGCTACATGCCCAGCTCCTAAAATCAAGCTGAGTTGTGTGTGTGTGTGTGTGTGTGTGTGTGTGTGTCCCTCACTTTTCTTATAAGGACACCAGCCCTATAGGAGTACTGTTACACGTGCATAGCACCATAGCTTAAACCACTTCCTTAAAGATTTTTGTCTTCATATATTCACACTGAGAGTAAGGACTCAACCTCAGATTTGGAGATGACAAAAGTCATCCATGTCAGTACGTGAATAGAATACTATAATACTATATTGTGCTTATTTTTACCTCAAGGTCACAAAAATATTGCCATAGTTCAAGACATTCCAAACTACACACCAACCTCCCTTACTGGAAGGAAGAAGTGGCAACAAAAACAAATCATACCCTGACCAATTTCTGCAGAAAACCTTTCCTAGAAAGTCCCTTTTCATCTTTGTGTCACATATCAACCTAGCTGCAAGGGAGGCTGAGAGAGCAAGACCTCTCATTTGCTCTTCTAAGTAGGAAGCATGCAAGAACCATTAAGAGGACTGGGAATCACCTGGATTAATGATAACCATTTGTTCAGTACTTACTAGTTAGCTTATCTTCTTCAAACACACTGCACCTAATAACTCACCTGAACATCTCAATATCATATGAACCTCTCAATATCAAACTGAGGAAATAAGGCTCGGATAGGTTAGGTTACTTGCTCAAGATCACACAGGCAGTATAGGGTATCATAGGACAAAAGGATTTGAACTCATGGATTTGGACCAACCTGGGAGCCATGCCCACAGTTGCTACCCTATCCTGTCTTGATGCTGGTGGCAGCATTATAAGCAGATGTTTGTTGACACCTGAAGTGCACACTTATCTCTGGCAGGGAAGGGGCTCACCTATCAACCACATAGCGTGGAAGCTGGCCTATGCCTTTTGATAAACTCCAAGGGGCAGAAAATAGCCAAAGCTCCTGATCACCAGTCTGGAAGGGTTTCAGGTCCACTTAGTGGCCATCCTTAGGGAAAAGAAAGTCCATGCTGCTGACAACCCAGCCCTCTAGCCTTCTGCCTCATTTGTTACTCACCTAGAAACACCATTCCATCAATTTATGACCAGTAAGTCAGAGGCTCCAAATAGCCAGTGCTTGTACATCACACCACTTCAGTCAGAATGCATACAGAGGGCACCAGGCCCAATGATCAGGAGAATTAATCTGTGTTCTCTCTACCAACCCCTGACAGTATAGACACAGCCTCAGTGCTAAATCTCCCTTCCTTTTTATGGGGTAGGGGGAGAGGGCTGTGGTCATGCTTCTGATGTCATATTCATTTGTCACTGTCTGTATGTTTAAGGAGCTAATTCATGGCCTGGAGAAATGGCTCACATTGTACAGTGCTTACCTAGCAAGCATGAGGCCCTGAATTCAATCTCCAGTCTGGCAACAAAGAAAGGAGTTAATTCATAGTTAATCTAAGTAGTAAAAGCACACCACCATTTTTATTATCTTGTTTTGATATTTCTACAGTTTGACATATGTGAGATCCTTTTGATTGGGAAGCTGCCAAGCCTCTCTTGGTCTCAGAGAAGCTCTGTTCAGTGCCCACACATGGAGTTAGGAGGTCATGTTTCTTGCTTCAGTGTGTGAGGCTATAACAGAGGTCCTAATCCTGAGCTTTTGTTACAGAATGAAAGCTATAAGTCATGCTGGCATCATGGTCCCAGAATGGGATGCCAGGGACATTTCACCTTTGTAAACCCAGAGCCAGACTAATCACAAGGAAACACCAACAACAAAGGGACAAACACGCAACAAAATCCATTCTGCATTCTTCCAAAATGTCAAGGTCACAAAAGACAAGGTCACAAGTCTGACACCCTGTCACAGTCCTCAGGAATCTGAGGAGCCAGGACACCGGGATGCAGATGGTGACTTAGATGGGTTCCTGGGTACACTGAAGACATCAGTGAGATCAGTGGCAAAATCTGGGCAACTTCTGTCACTTGGTTGCTAATGAGAACTCCTCACTGACCAAGGGAAGCTGATAACATAAAAGCTTAACATCAGGGAAAGAGGTTATGGACTGGCAGGAACCCTCTGTGCTAGCTGCAGCTCTACAGTAAATCTGAAGTTCTGGAGGGTTTCGTGGGACTTTTTGTTGTTGTTGCTGTTGTTGCTTTTTGCTGGTCGTAGGGCCCGAACTCTGGGCCTGGGCGCTGTCCCTCAGCTCTTCAGCTCAAGGCTAGCACTCTACCACTTGAGCCACAGTGCCACTTCTGGCTTTTTCTACTTATGTGGTGCTGAGGAATCGAACCCAGGGCCTCAGGCATGCAAGGCAAGCGCTCTACCACTAAGCCACCTTCCCAGCCCCTGAAGTTGTTTTGCAATAATATTTTAGCAAAGAAATTTGGAAAAGCACTTGGCCTCCATTCTAACCTCCGTGATTCAGAATTTGGGGCGTCTTGAAGCTCTACAGGTGATCCCATCTGTGCAAGGGGGAGCAAGAAACCGTGAATGATTTCAAAGGTGAGTGTGGGCACACACCCCTTGAAGGGGCTTATTACTAAAACATTAGTAAGTTAAAGTACTAAAACAAGTGGTAGACCTGCCCTGGAGTCAGACAGACTGGCTTGAATTCAGGGCCTGGATATTATTTCTTTTTTCGCTCAGGGCTAGTGCCTTACCACTTAAGCCACAGATCCATTTTCAGCTTTTCTGGTGATTAATTGGCACTAAGAGTTCATAGACTTTCTGAGTTGGCATCAAACCCTGATCCTCATATCTCAGCCTCCTAACTAGCTGAGATTACAGGTGTGCACCACCAGTGTCTAGCTATCTATTATGATCTTGCCAGTTACCTGCTGCCAGCTCTGGCTACAGCTATCCTGACCACTCCCCATCCCTGCCTACACTGGTGGGGGGGAGGGGGGGTGGTACTTACCTCCCGTAAGTCCCGCTCTCCAGATTGTGCTTGGGTGCCTTTAGGAGCCACCATTGCTTTCTGAGGTGTTATTAGTTTCTGAGTTCTGCAGCTGCAGCCTAGTGCTGAGATTCACCTTCTTTGGTCCTAGTACCTGAACCTGGCCACTCATCCTGCAGGAGAGATGAGCATATGTGCAGTTTTCCAAACTACAGATATCAAATCATTTAGAGTGCAGACTCTCAATGTATTTGCATGCTGTTGAGCATATCCTGTAAGGCAGGACATCCACATGTGGGAGACAGATTTGAGAAGCACACTGGCAGCCCAGGAGGCAAGCATAATCCTCATCTAGAACACCGTGGAATTAAAATTAAAGCACAGGGCCACCCCTCAGCAACTGCATGGCCCCAGGCAAATTACCAAACCTTACTAAACCTTGTCTCCCATGAAGATGGAGAAAGTGATCCTTGCCTCGAATAGCTGCTGGGACAATTTAGTGGTATAATGTATTTACAGAGCCTCGCAGTAAACATCAACCCTTGACCCTATTTGCATGCTGCCCTGCCTGTAATCCCTGCCTCTCTGCTCTCCCTGGGTAGCTAACTATGCATAGTGTGCTGATATTTTAGATCCCAATTCAAGGGAAGCTCCCTACTATATCAAAAGTGAAAAAGCAAGTAACCATTACCTTGAGCAGAAAGGTCATTTATATTTACATTCGTGGCTATAAAATACCCCATAAAATATAATGTGTATCCTCATGCTTAATAATACCCTGCAAGTTATTGTCACAGGTCCCTGGGTACATCCAGTTGGTCACTAAAAAGAATTCTTTCTGGAAGTAAAAGAATTGCAAATCATCTCTGATCACTAGAAAACATGCTTATTATGAATAAAGAGAACAGAAAATGAGCTGAGATTTAGGGGTTGTCTGCCACCGTGAATGGGAAGAGTAAGAGCAGAGACAGCACAGCTATCATCTGTGAGCCTCAGTGCTCAGGAGCAAGGAATTACCAAACCTGGGATCTCAGGGGCTGGGGGCCCACACAAACACAAGAGGTAGAGCAGGAATCTGGGAGTAATCCAGAAACAGGAGAAGAAAATGGAGTTAGAGGAGGCAAACGCTGGCAGATTGCAACAGGTATAAACAGGTAACCTGGAAATCTCAGAGATGAAACCTACCATTCCATTAAGAGGATCGACATCTCCAGAAGGCCTGGGAGGATCTGGTGGAATCCCAAACCCAAAACTGAAGGAATCAAGCAAAAACCTGAGGGGAAGCCAAGTATAAAGCAGGTACTCCACTCACAGGGGATGAAGTGAGAACTCAGGGGAGTGAAGCCCCAGGTTTTACCTGAGCCTCTGAGTTTCCAATCTTGGGCTTCTCTTAACATCTTTCATCCAGGTCTCAGAGACTGGGAGGTGGGAGGAGTTGGGGGAGATAGGAAGGGAGAGACATCACCTAGAGCAGGAATGGGACCCAGTGGGAGAAGTCCTATGGCTCAAAAAGGCTATAGAGACCAGAAGTCAAGCAAAAGGGCCTTGAGGCACTCAGTGTTCATGGCCACTTCTGGCCGGGTAAAGTTGCCTCCCCAACCTAGAAATCCCACAACCAAGCTCCGACTATATTCCTCTAGGCTTCCTGAGAACTCTAGGAGGCAGCAGCCAAGAGGAAAAAAAGCCCTTGGCCAGGTCCAGGCACAGTGGAAACGAGCCCATGTGTTAGGATGGACAAGCCCACAACCTTGAGGGCATTTATTGAAACACAACAGTCAACACTTGGGACAGTGCAACGGTTCTGCCTCAGATGACACAAAGGCACAATGCCTCACTGAAGGGTGGCGCCCACTGGGAGCCTGCTCACATCACCTCCCACGAAGTCAACCTTCCTACAAGTTAAACGTGCCCTCCATGGCCCACAGAGCCATGCATGGGTACACAGAAGGAGAGGTAAAATCCAAGCCAATGGCACAGGCAGGATGTGAGAGGCTGCTGTGTGTTCTTCCTGGAGAAGGAGAAGCACATTTCATGGTGTAGCCATGAGTCTCTAGAAAGGGTGCAGCTGGAGGAGGGGGTGTCCACAGGGGTTCATGATGGTAGTGTGGACAGTCATCCTGGCACTGCAGACAACCACAGGACAGAAATGGGGCAACTAGGTGAAGTCAAGATATGAAGGAAGGACCAACGAGTGCAAAGACACCAGAAAGGAGGAGGGCATGACTCAGTGTGGAACAGGAACCAGCCAGGAAAGCAGGGACGAGACCCAGCAGGCCAGCTTCGACCCCTTCACATGCAGCATGAGTTCATGCAGGTCGATCTTCCATAAGTTAAAGGCCTCGCAGACAGAGATCTGGGTCCTTCTGAAGAACGAATGGGTATTCTTCCTGTTGTGCCTGAAGGGGCAAGAGAGGAAAGGATAAAGAGGTAAGAAACTCGAGCTCAGAATGTCTGAGAAAAAAAATTAAAAATGGCAACTTTGGCCAGCTTCTCAGCTCTCTGCTCCTGGGACCACATTTGGTCACATGATCAGGCCACTACCTAATCAGGGGCCAGAGGAACTCAGCTAGCTCAAAGGAGTTTTTCAATTCATGTGGTAAGCAAAAGCAGTTGTTTCGTAAGGCATCAGGTTTGCTACAACTTTGTCTAGAACATTCCAAAGGTTCTCTTTCCAAAAATATAGTAAACACATGCCAATCCAGATTCCCCAAACAAATATAAACAGAGCCTCCCTAAACATTCTGAGGATAAAAATCACTCAGAATCAGATGATCCTGGGAAGCTGAGGCCTTTACCCATCAGCTCAGTCCTTTCTGTGCAAAAAAAAAAAAAAAAAAATGGACATGATGAAAACTGTTGTTTATGATAATGACCTATTCAAGACTTACTTCCTAAGCCCTCAGAGAAAATGTAAATTATGCTCAGACCTTTCAGTGTACAGTATATTTTGTTCTAATCCAATTTGATATTTGGTAATGATACCTGTGGTCAAATCTCTGTTCCCCAGAAAAACCCATTCCTACCCAGTATGGACAGGCCAGGATTGACCACAGCCAATCCTCTCTGGGATAAGAAAGTTCTGACAGCGTATGGCCCTTCTGGTATATTCCTGAATCCCATTTTGAGGCCCAGAATCCTTCTCCCTGAGGTCAACCCCCCAAAGGTGTAAGGCATCTAGCTGTGACGAATCTAGGAAGATCTAAGCTCCTGAGAGAGTCCACTGACTGTATGTTTCTGGGTCACAGTACTAGCCAAGTTCCAGAACCAGCTAGAGATGTGAACACTAGATGGGGCCGAGATGCTCAGAAAACAATTCAAATTTGAATAAGGAAAACTGAACTGGAAGGTTGAGGTACTGGAAGCTGCCATTTCACAGCACAGGCAATTCTTTGGGTTACCCCAAAAACAGTTTCCAAAAGTATAGAATTATTTTCTGTCCCTATCTTTCTTACAGGAAGGAGTGGAACTTGGGAAGCACAGCAGGGCCCTGTGGGCTGGTGGAAAAAAGCAGAGGCAAGCAGGACCCATGGGACGGGCCAAGAGCTAGGAGGGGAGCGAAGGCAGGAATCTACACTCACTCAGCCAATGCCCTGATGCAACACCGTGACATGTTGAGGAAGGAGCTGGCGCTGGCACGGGTCCCCAGGGTGGCCTCAATGCTGCGCAGCAGGTCATTGGTCTTGAAGATGAGCAGCATCTGGCGTGGAACACAGTTGAGGAGCTGGCTGATCTCGGGGAGGCAGGTGGTCACGTTGGTGCGGATCTCTGAGTCCTGAGGCAGCAAAGACAGATGCAGATGGTTGATGTGGGAAAAGGAGCTCAGGGCAGCAAAGGTCTAGGCATCCTAAACACCATGAAGACTAGAAAAGCTCCAGGACAGCCAGGTACTGGTCACTCACACCTGTCATCCTAGCTACTCAGGAGGCTGAGATCTGAGGTCCCTGGTTGGAAGCCATCTGGGACAGGAAAGTCCATGAGACTCATCACCAATTAACCACCAGAAAACCAGAAATGGCACCATGGCTCAAAGTAGTAGAGTACTTGCCTTGAGCAAAAAAGCTCAGCGACAGTGCCCAGGCCCTGAGTTCAGGTCCCAAAACTGATAGAAGAAAAAAAAAATGAAGCGCTAGGACAGGTAGGTGCCAATGGCTCTCACCTATAATCCTAGCTTCTCAGGACTCTGAGAGGTGAGGTTTGAAGCCATCCTGGGCAGACAAATCCAAGAAACTTTTATCTTCAAATAAGCAAAAAGTCAAAAATGAAGATGTGGCTCAAGTGGTAGAGCACCTGTATACACACACAGAAAGAAAGAAAGAAAGAAAGAAAGAAAGAAAGAAAGAAAGAAAGAAAGAAAGAAAGAAAGAAAGAAAGAAAGAAAGAAAGAAAGAAAGAAAGAAGGAAAGAAAAGGAATATAAAAGAAAAGAAGGGAAAAGAAAAGGCTCCAGGAGGGAGCTCCTAGAATAGCTGTCCCAGACAACAAGGAGCACTCCCCAAAGACATGTCTGGCACCAGAGGCTTTGTGTCTTAATCACCTGGACAGGAGGTCATAGCCCAGCTCTCAGGCAAGTATGGAAGCAGCAAGAGTGCATCAGAAGGCCCAGTGACTCTCCAAGGCTTCTTCACTAGCCATCAGTTTCAGGCCAGCCCTGAGAGCTGGTACCAGCTGAGTCATGCCCCTACCAGCCAAATCCAGGCTGCTATCATCCATTGATCTGAGCTCCTGACTGTAGCCAACTCCTAAGACTCTAGGCCCTGCACTCCACCAGATCCACCTGCCACCCACACTGCCCTGCTGATGACAGCACCTTGTGCTGCAGCTCCAGTGCCTGGCACCCCCAGCGTAGAATCCAGAGCATAGCCCCCGCCACTGGTCAGTCCCACAGCCCTCACTCCTGTCTGTGTTTGAGGCCTGGCATCCTGTCCGTCCCTGTCCCTGAGTCCTTCGGGAATCTAGGCAGATGACTATGCCCAGCCAGAATTCTGGGTGTGGCAGTGTGCCTCTGAGTACCCAGGAAAATGATTGTGATGATGGTGGTAGTGGTGGCGGACATACACTGGACATTTAAAAGTAAGCACTTTGAAAAGACTTGCATGTAGTTATTTTTGAATTCTCATAATGCCTCATGTAGGCTGATTATATTATGTCCACTTAAACTGAGAGAACAAGAAGTCAAGTAACCTGCCCCAGGTGCATGCAGTAAGTAGTGGGTCAGGACTTCCACACAGGCAGCCTGGGAACACTCAGCACCTGGCCCTACCAGCTCTTTACCTCACAGCAGGACTCCATGCCCCAGGCAATTCTTTTCACCTCATTCTGGTCCATGTCCTCACCCCAAAACTGGATGTACGAACACTTTGTGTGCCCACCTCCCATCAGCAGGAAGAGGGGCATCAGAGATAAGGCTCAGGGCAGCATTCAGTGCCCACCATGCACAAAGAAGAGCCTCCGCAGTATGGCTTTGGGGCCTTGGGGACGCTCCTGCAATTAAAGAAGCTGCTGGGCACCAGAGGCATACATTCCTGAATCCTAGCTACTCAGGAGGCTGAGATCGGAGGATTGTGGTTTGAAACCAGCCTGGGCACAAAAGTCCATGAGACTCTGGTCTCCAATTAACCACCAAAAAGCCATAAGTGGAGCTGTAATTCAAAAGTAGAATGCCAGCTTTGAGAAAAAAAAAAAAAAAGTTCAAGGACAGCACCCAGGCCCCGAGTTCTAGCTCCAGGACCAAAACAGAAAAAGAAAAGAAAAACTCAGTCCCTTCAGAGCACCAGAGGCTGCTGATCACCCCTTGCTGTGGAATTTGAAATGTCTCAGTAGCTGTCTGCTGTCATTGCATGTCACTCTGCCTGAACCACAGGCCTGGCTTATCACAGGGATCCTTCTCTGCGAGGTCAGGGCCAGACTTCCAGGCAGAAAATGCTGCATGCCTCCTAGAGTCGCTCTCAGAGCAGCCGAGGCTGGAGGCTTGGGCACACCCTGATGGTGTGAGACCCACAATCAACCCTGGTGAGTGCTGACCCAGCCACAATCCCCCCACAGGGCTTCATTAAAACAACTCCAGGCTTCACTTAATATAATTTTTTCCAAGTTTTTCCATTTCCTAACAAATGGGGCAATGTCATTCTTTCTGATGGAGGCATGGAATTCCATTGTGTATATATACCACATTTTCTTGATCCATTCATCTACTGAGGGGCATCTGGGTTGGTTCCATATCTTAGCTATGGTAAATAATGCTGCAATAAACATAGTTGTGCTGGTAAAAAAAAAAAAAAAAAACAACTCCAGGGCTGGGAGGGTGGCTCAGTGGTAGAGTGCTTGCCTTGCATGCATGAGGCCCTAGGTTCAATTCCTCAGCACCACATAAGCAAAAAGAAAAAAGCTGGAAGTGGCGCTGTGGCTCAAGTGGTAGAGCGCTACCTTGAGCTAAAGAGCTGAGAGACAGTGCCCAGGCCCAGAGTTCAGGCCCCACGACCGGACCCAAAAATAAAAAATAAATAAAATAAAATAAAACAACTCCAGTGTTGTTCATATGGCTCCTCAGCGACTCGGAGCTCCTGAAGACCCAGGGGGAATCTGGCTGGCTTGCAGCCACTGCTGGCTCTAAGCATTCCTCCTCTTGCAAAATGGTTCGTTTAGGCAGGGACATGCTACGTTATTCTGACCAATGAGACCCAAGAACAAGTCTCTCCTGAGAGTTCTAGGAAAGTTTCCTTAGTCTTACAAAATGGCATGTGATCTGGGTGAGAGTGCATAAGCCTATAATCCTAGCTACTCTGGAGGCTAAAATCTGATGATCACAGTTCAAAGCCAAACAACCAGCAAAAAGCAGGAGGAGGCAGTGTGGCTCAAGTGATAGAGCACCAATACTGCCCCCCCCCCAAATGACATATGAAGGGATGCACCCCTGATTCCTAACTCTGGTTGCCACTGCATGAAGATGTGAAGCCTTGAATTGCCACTGTCATCACGGATCGTGGAAAGGAAAAGCCAACAGAACCACAATAGTGAGCCCAGAGCTTAAGTCTCATCTGTCAAGGTAACTAGCCCCACCTCCAGGCTTCTTGTTATGGAGAGAACAAATTCCTCACTGGTTAGACTTCACGCACACACACACAAGGTTGAGAATTCCCTTCATTCTGAATGGGAACAGAGCTCAGAAATACAGAACTTTTCCACTCTGGAGGCAGAGCTGGCTGGGATTGACCCAGGTCACCCTCATCCACAGAGCTGGCAACCCACCAGATGCAATCCCAGAGCTGCAGGGCTCTGATTAAAGAGGTACAAGACAAGACCTTCCCATGCTTACCATGCAGTCAGAGAGTGAAGATATACAAAGAACTCTACCAAGGGCCTATAACAGACTTGACCTCTGAATGATAGGGTAAGTACTGAGGGGTGACTGTCAGCTGAGGCAGGAAAGTCTGTGAGACTCTTATCTCCAATTAACCACCAAACAGCCAGATGTGGGGCTGTGGCTCAAGTGGTAGAGCACCAGCCTTGAAAAAAAAAAAATAAGGGAGAGTGAGAGGCCCCGAGTTCAAGCCCCAGGATTGGCACAAAAACAACAAAATAAAATAGTACATCTGAGTATTTCCTTTTCTGCTTAAAGCCTGTAAAAGTCACTTCATACTAGAAGTGAATCCAAACTTATTTCTCTGACTTACAAGGCCCTGTGGGATGCTTAACCTGCCCAGTGTCCCAAATTCTTCCCATTTCTTACCCCTCTTCCTCTCCCCGCCCCCTCTCCCCCCCCCCCCCCCGCCCCCTGTGCGCGCATGCACACATGCACACACGTGCACACACACACACACACACACACACACATCCTTGCCACACTGTGGACCACACCAAACCTTCCTTCCCCTAAGACTTCCCTTGCCAGAAATATGTGGTTCAGGATCCTCCTGGGGCTGGTGCCTTTCTTGTCCTCAACCTCGGCTCAAATGTGAATGGCTCGTGGAGGACCTCTCTAAGCACGGCCCTCTCCCCTTCTTCACTCATGACATCTCACTGGCTCATTTCCTCTAAACACTAATAACCTGCAATTATCCCACTTTCCTGTTTATCCACTTGTTGCCTGTCTGTCTATCTCCACTAGTGTGAAAACTAGACAAAAGGCCTGTCTGTACTGGGTCATGGGCTCCTCAGCACCAAGCATGGAGTTCAGATAAAACAAACCGCGGCTGACTAAAGGAACTCTATGAGGACACTGTAGAAGCACTATTAGTAAAACAGGCAGCACCATTGCTACCATCCCTCTTTTATCATCTCTTTTCTTCTGTGATGAGTTTTAAAGCTATGGAGCCAGCAGGTAGTCATCTTTCTACCATGCTTGCTGGAAAAAAATGAAGGAAGTGGAGCTATGAAACAGCAAGAGATGGAATTTCTGAGACTCTGGATCCAGCCATGTCTAGAGTTTCTGCCTACCACAAATGAGGCCCACAGGAACAACTGGAACACGATGGGAAAGGTCATATCACCAGGAAGAGGAAGGGGTTGGAACTAGAGCCCAGGCTTTCTAACAGCATGAGTTCTCCTCTCCTGTGGTGAGCAGAGGCCTTAACTAGAACCAGAGCCCATCTACCACTGAGATACAGGCTTATATGGCTGAGCCTGGAAACCAACAGTGGATGGATAGAAGGCAGTTCCAGGAAGAATGGAAAAGCATCCTGAAAGGGAGCCCACCTGAGAAAGAAAGGTGAGACTGCCCTGTGAGCCTCTGTGAAACAGAGATGCTCCTTCGATCTATCTCCAAGCCAGACTCCACTGGGCTGTCTAGGTCCACAGCGGGGAAAGAGTAACAAAGACAACAGAAACTGCTGCACTAAAATATCTGTAGGATGAAAGGGCAAAGCTGCTTGAGGATGACAGGGAGAAGCAAAGGACTCTCCTCTCTGTGGAGCCTGAGGAGTCACATGATAGGAGACAGTGCCGGGCAGGAGGCAAGGAAGGGCTGCCAGGCTTCGGAACAAAAGGAAGTCCTGGAGAGAACTTGGAGGAAGCTGACATATCGTGTAAGTAGGTTGGGGCTAAAGCTACAGACACCTAGGTTATTATACCCACTGAACCTTGTTTCCACTCCAGCCTGATAAGGCCTGGGAGAGACACAGTTCAATAGCTTCTCCTTTTCCTCCTCCATCTTGGCTATCATCTCCTCTCCCTTCCCTGCTTCTCATCCACCATCACTCCAATTCTGCCCTTCCCACATATACAATATCATCAGAGCTCCAAACGGCTCGCCAATCAAAACCTTTGACTCTAGATTAGAAGAGATTCCCCAGGTCATTTGAGGGAGAGCATGGTACTGGGAGAGGGGAGTACCTACCTCAGTGGAAGTGACTGGCACGTGGCTGATGCCCTTGTTGATTGAATCCCATGACCGGGCTGTCAGCATGCAAGCAAACAAGGGGTAGAGGTTCGCGGCACCCAGGCGCTGGCTGTATATCTTCACCTTCTGCATGTCGGTCCAGATCAGAGACTGCCACAGGTGGCAGTAATCCAGGCGGAACTCATCGGTGAGCACCTGTGGCCAGGACAGCAGCAGCAGGACCTGAGCCTCCTCTCCCCACCAAAAGCCCAAGCCTGTGGCCAGAACTGACCACTACCACAGGAGACAAGCATGACCCAAACTTCGGCTACCCCCAAAGGCTCAAGTTCAAGTCTACAACAGGGTTAATATCTCTTGACTGAGACACTTGGAACCAGAAGTGTTTTAGATTTTCTAATTTTTTTTGCAGTATTTGCATATATATATAAAATATCTTGGCAACGGGATTCAAGTGTAAATATAAAATCCATCTATGTTTCATTATACACACGGCCTAAAGGTAATTTTATGCAATGTTTTTAATAATATCGTGCATGAAACAGTTTCAAGGCATGGAATTTTTTCCTTGGGTGTCATGGAGCTCCAAAAGCTTTCGATTTAAAGCATTTGGGGATTTCAGATTTTTACATGTGAGATGTTGAACCTTTATGTGGTAGAGAGGTAGTATCTGCTAACTATCCACCAAAATCTATGGTCTCCTCTTCTGCTCCTCTGTGAGCTACTTTTCCCCTGGAATGAGATGGAAGCTCCGCCTTCCCCATGCATTCCAACACACGTCCCTCAATGCCCTGTCCTTGCTGCTGACTGATGGTGATATCCAAGCCTGGCAAGCAGAGCCCTGCAGACTCTGCCGCACCCAGGACGGGCACATGAGCAAGCCATTAAAGTCCTATTGTCTGGGCCATCTGTGAGACAACAGCTGGCCTTGCCTGGCCTGCAAGCTTCCTTTAGCAGGCATGTCGAACAAGAGTGAGCTTTGAGGCTATGGAATCTGGGCCTGGTAAGTCGCTATGGAACCTTGAGGACCACCTGCCTCGTTGAATAGAGGAATTTCCCACATGGCAGGTGCATGCTCATAGCTTATTCCAGTGAGCTCTGCTCTTTATCCTGAGTTCCAGAGGACAAAGTCTGGGGCCTCCCACCTCCTTTTCCTTTCTGGGTTTGAACGTGCGATCACCTCTCCCGCTGAGGCCCTAGCTGTCGCACACAGGGTATCCCTTTCCCCACGGTTCCTTTCCCCACACAGGCGCACACAGGCACAACGCCATTACTTGTCATGACACCTGTAAAAGAGGTGTGACCACCTCACTTTTCTGCAGAGAGTGGCGTGCATAAGATGACAGTCCCTGGGGAAGGCAGAGCCCTCTCCGCCTACTTGGGTGTGTGGCTGAGGGGAGACTTGAATGGGCTGTAACCCCAAGCAGGAGCGGTCCCCCCCTCCCAGGCTGGGTGGGAAAGGTTCTCCTACCTGGTAGAGTCCATGATCCAAGAGGACAATCTCTGCCTTGCCTGTGCGTGGATGCTTCCGTACCAGCATGTTGCCCGGGTGGGGGTCGCAGTGCACAAAGCCATTGACAAAGATCATCTCACTGTACATCTTGCCCAGGTGGCGGGAGATCTGGAAGAGAAGGGAGATGGTGGCAGTACTACTCCATCTATGCCTGTCTCGGGGATTTCCCTAGTCTCTCCACCTGGTCAAATTGCAAGAGGAAACTAAAGGAACCAAATGGGCCTGAATGGTGGTGGTGGTGGTGGTGATGGTGGTGAACATGGTGATTTGAGATGGGGCCATTTTTTGCATTCAAGATAGAAGCTCAGCTCTAATCCAGTCCTCCTCCACTTCAGCCACACATGAGACCCACAGGAACTCAGCCATGAGTTCTCAGTTCCATGCGATGGAAGTCCCACGATGATTTCAGTAAACAGCTGCGCCTCCTCATCTCCCACGCCTCCCTCTCTTCTCCATCCTATTTCTCTTTTCCCTACTCTCTTGTCTGTCCGTCTTTATCCTTTCCCCAAAGTTGAGAATGAATGCTCTGGGGAAGCTATTCTACTCAAAACACAGGCCAGGGTGACGCAGTGGGATGAGGTGGCTCCACCACCCTCTTCCAGGGGTACCCTAGGCAGAGCCCCAGTGCAGGCCCTTCTCCCCTCCCCACCAGAGCCAATGCTAATCTGATTTATGATGTCTGCACAGAAGAAATGACACTGGAGAGGCCATTTAAATCATCCTGTCACCGCTGCGCTCCCTGCCGAGGCAGCCTTCTTATCTCTACTCCCTTTTTTATTAAAGCTAAAAGCCTCTTCCCAGCTAGGGAGCAGCTGCTGAATAGAGCAGACCTGGCCGGGTAGATGATTTTGCGCATGAGTTTTCAGGAGACAAAGACATGTCCAACCAGAAAGCTGATACTCCGGGACAGCAGCTGCCACTGGGACAGCAGCCTCAGTTGGACCCTATGGTCACTAACAAATATATCCTGACCACAGAAGAAGAGCTTAGGGCTCATGGAGTGGGGAACACAGGATTAATATCTTTCTTCAGTTTACCAAGTCCTACACAACCAGACCCTGCCTCCCTTCCTGGTCCTCTCTCTCACTGCACTGACAGCCCAGCCCACAGTCACTCTTTCTCTTCTCCAGTGATCTCTGAGCTTTCCTACCTTAGGGCCTTTGCACATGGTATTCCTACTGTCAGAACACTCCTGTCATCTATCTCCCCCATCCCTAGGGTCAAGCTCTGTTCCTCCTACCATGAGCTGCAAGAGGTTCTCTTGCCATCTACTCTTAGAGGATGCTGTGCTTTTTCCATGGGACTAGTAATTATTTGTGCTATTATTTGATTAATGACTATCTGGCCCACTATCATAAACTTCCAAGACAGCAGGGACTAGCTCTGTTTGTTAAACAACTTTATTGAGGTATAATTTATATACCATAGACTGGCTCTATTTATGCATGCACTTGCTTGTATTAGCACCAGGCCTGGGGACCTTAAGACTCTGTATTCAACATGAATGAGACAGACCCTCAGCTCTCTGTGGTTTTCTGAAATGCCAGGGTTCCCACCTCTCCAGTTTTCCTAACCCCATTAATCTCCTCCAAACCCCAATCAGTAATAACTGGCCCCAGATGAAATAATCAAGAATAGCCCTACTTTACAGCCAGCATCATTTTTAACATAACTAAATGCAGATTCCATTGTGACACCCCTCACTTTGCAGGTGAGAAACTGAGATTTATCATGATTAGCTTATCCCTGGCTGGAAAGAGGCAGAGCCAGGGTTCAAAGTAGAATTCAGCAATGCTGGTTTTTCCATACCTCACACCTACTTCTGCACATTTCCACTGAGCTTCATGACCCGAAACAAGTTGTTTATATTCTCAGCCTCAGCAAAACAGAAGTAATAATAGGGCTGCTCTCGAGGATGGCTTAGAGGTAAATGAGAATATCATAGGGCTTGGGATCTGGTGCCTTCCACCAGGTGCCCCTGTGGTTGTCATTATTGATTCTCACAACAATCCTGGAAGGTGGGCAGGCTAGGTTGCAGTGTGCATTAGACCAGATGATGGCACTGAAGATGCTGTACTCAGCTGCCAGGCCAGTGAAGCAGACACTTCAGGGTTCATAGGAGCAGGACTTGGCCCCAAGCAAGCTCCCACACAAATTTTCCGGGTGCTCAAGGCTATTATCTTCTGTTTGCTAGGAGAGGGGACCTCAGTCAGAGCTGGCCCCAGATGATCCAACCAGTTCCCATTTCTGTGCCACCAAATCCCCTGTTGGGCTCCTTGGCACTCCTTGGAGCCGTGCCTTAGAAGGTTACATCCGCCCAGCCAATCACGTTTATTAAGCAATCATTCATTTTTATTTGTCAAGGACGAATATAAGGTCCAATCAGGGCTCCTGATCAGTCTGAGATAAGCAGCACAGCCAGCCTGAGCTGACGGAGTTCCAGCCAGAAAGCAGAGAAATGACATCTCATTTAGTCTGGGCAGATCTGTCACAGGGAGATAGATGATCTCTTTAAGTTTTGTGAAATACTGCTAATCGTGCTGAGCTCCTTATTACTACATTAAAAGCTGGGGGGGGGGGGGAAGGGGGGGATTGATATTGGGGGGCGGGGTTCTTGTCTATGTAGACTAAGCTCCTGCTTCATGGTGTCAGCTGCTAGCCCAGACACCAGCAAAGCCTCCACAGTGGTCCTACCCAACTCAGCATCCTGTCTAGATGCCTCCACCTAGGGACCGCTCCATCTGGGGTCTGTCATTTTTTTGGAAGATAACCAAGGTCTAAACTCAGGGTCTTGTACTCTTGCTCATGTTGCTTACTCAGCGGGCACACTACCACTTGAGCCATGCCTCCAGTGTGGCTTTTTGTTGGCTATTTTGGAGATGGAGCTTCATGGAATTTTCTGCCCTGCTGGTTTTTTTAAATTGTGATCTTCCAGATAATGACCTCCTGAGTAGCTAGGATTACAAGCCTGAACCACCAGTGCCTGGCTGCCATCTGTTCTTGATGCACATTTTAACCAGATACCACAGAGATAGACAAGTATGGAAGACAGGTGTACAAAGGAGCAGGAGCTAGCCAATGTCTTAGCATAGGAATCACCTTGGCCTAGGGAAAAAGTCATCTCCCTTTTCTGCCTTAGCAATTAAATGCAACTAAGGTCAATTGTTGTACTTCCTTTTAGAACAATCTCAAAAAGTCAAGGTCAAATATGATCAACTATGAGAAACACCACCTACTAGAGGACACACAAACACCATAGCTTTGTTTCCAATCTTGTAGCTTAGTATTTTGAACTCAGAAGACATATACATCCCCATTATCATTGCAAAGTGTAACTGTTAACAAGTTAATATATCTCATACATAGACTATCGGCACACACCAAAGATGTCTTAACACCTTGATAAGGAAGCAAGTAAGAGAGGGGAACTATTTCAAAGAGAATTTTCAGGAAGTGAATACTTAATAGTAAATAAGTGGGTACTTAAATAAGAATAAGACACTAGGATTCTTGGATGAGATAGAAGCTGTTTATTGCTCTATGAGGCCTTTTTAAAAATCAGCCTTTGGGGAACTATTCAGAAATTTTTGCATCTCTACTTAATAAGAGCTACAAGTTGATGTCTAAGCCCTTAATTTATAGCCAGGCACTGGTGGCTCACGCCTATAATCCTAGCTACTCAAGAGGCTGAGGATCACCATTCTGCTCAGGCAGAAAAGTCCCCATGAGACTCTTACCTCCAATCAACCACTCAAAAGTTGGAAGTGGAGCTGTGGCTCAAAGTGGTAGAGCACTAGCCTTGAGCAAAAGAGCTCAGGAACAGTGCCCAGGCCCTGAGTTCAAGCCCCACAACTGAAAAAACAAAAGGGGGGGAGAGAGGGGTGTGTATTTCCCTAGATACTAAGAGGAAAAACCCATGGGTGTGGGTGGCTAACTGAACAAGGCCCAAGCATGACTTTGAAAGGTCATACCACACTCAGCCTTTTAGACTTGTGCTAAATACTCTGGGAATCAGTCTGTTAAGAAAAGGCAGCCAGGTTTCCCTCATCACCTGACACAGAGCCTCTCTCCCCTGCCTTCCATAGTATGATAGTCACTTCTCCTGCGTCAGACCATCATGTCCTACCACTGCCATTGTCCCATTCATTGTGGGACAAGTTTTCCTGCATCTGCAGGAAGACAGGAAAAACACCTTTTTAGAGAGGTTGTCACCACTGATGCACGAGGCCTTGTTCCTGCACTTCATTGTGGACAGACTCAGCACTCAGCCAGCCTTTGTAGCAATGTCTAGAAGACGGAGGACATGAAAATGGGAAGAAGGGTGGCCCAGACCCAGGAGACCTGACTCCAGAGAACAGGCATGTCACAACAGGGTCATCCTGATCCTCAAGAAGCTTTTCCTGGAACCAGAGGCTTCCCCAAAAGACTGCTGAAGCCCTCTCCCCAGCAACCCCCCCCCCCACACACACACACACATCCCTAAGATTCAGTCAAGGGCTCCATATGGAGAAAAGCAACTCAGTAGGAAATCCTAGATGGGTGGCTCTTCCAAACCTGTAGCCACAGCCATTTAGAAAACCATCACTAAAGTCTTATAATGGTTTCTTGCAAGAAAAAAATCAAAAACAAAAAACTAGGTGTCACTACTGCCAGGCACCAGTGGTTCATATGTATAATCCTAGCTACTTAGGAGACTGAGAGCTGTACTGTACCAAGCCAGCCAGGGTAGGAAAGTCCACAAGACTCTTAGCCCCAATTAACCACCAAAAAAAGCAAAAGTGGAGCTGTAGCTCAAGTGGTAGAGTGATAGCCTTGCACGCAAAAGTTCAGAGACAATGCCCAAGTGCTGAGTTTAGGCCCCAGGACTGTCACCAAAAAATGAAAAAGAAAAAAGAAAAAAAGAAAAGAATGTGCTACTCCCAAATGACTTTCAGTAATTATGCGATGCCTTCATTCTCTGACAAGGGAAGGAGAAAGCAGGACTCTTAAAAAAAAAAAAACTGTAAAAAATTAAGTTAGTAAATAATACTTAAATGAAGGAGTTATTTTTGGATTTTTCTCAAGACTTGAATTGGCTGAAAGTACTTTAATTATTCTATAATTGCACA